TAGTTTTCTCTTCCTCTTCTCTAAAGCAGCGCAGCATGGCCTCGCCCCCTTATTTGCCTTTTCCCGAGGGCGGGGTTTATCTGTGTTTGTGATGTCAACCCGGGAAGTAACTCGTTGTAGTCCCTACCAGCCGTTTTTGTAGGCATTAAACCGCTAGAATTTTAAAAGACGATATCTCCGTTTGCATTGAACTTTCAGCTTCGTAACTTTGCAGATATTGTTTATGCTCAAACAGCAACATTACACACTAACTAACGTTAAAAAAGTGAAATCGCAATCAACCACCCCTTTAAATGGGTTTGGATCTAAAATCTGCAGGACGGTAACTCTTTTTCTCATGTATCTGGGAACTGGACTTTAACAATTCCCATCCCTACACAACCAGGATTCTTACATTCCATTTTGACAGATAGAAATGATGAAGTAGAGGTGAGGTCCTTCTCCTTGTTCCAGGCACCAGTAGCAGGGGACAGGAGCCAGGGTGTGGCGGTACAGTAGTATTCTCCTACATCTCTATCCTGAATCTTGTGTAAGCTCAGGACAAACGTGTGTTGGTCGGTGCGCTCCAGACTGGTGTCATTGGAGCCGGTCTTCTTAACCACTCCCCAGCGGTCCATACTGATGAGAGGTTGGACTCCGTTATCTACAGCCCAGTCTGTGTTCTGGAACCAGCGTACATCAAATGTCATATCACCTGTGGAATGGACAGAGTAAAACGAATTATTTAAGCCAGCATGGAATCAAAATTGACATTTAAACCTCTTCTGTTTCACAATCTAGCGTCAAGTGTGATCAAGTGTTGCTCTACAATATTTGTAACTGAATATCCTGTTTCACTCACAAACATGTCTGATTATAGAAAGTAAATGGGTTTTGGGTGGGATTCTATACTGACTTTAATCATGAGAGGTAGTTTCACGTGAATGCCAAGGTGGAGTCAATACGATTGTTCATGGGTGTTCTGTTGCAACACTCCAAACAGCCGTGCTGTTGCTGCGGCTTATTCAAGCAAGTGTGTGCCATAATCACAAGGGTATTCAAGTAGTGTATGGAAAGAAAACAAAGCTAAACAGTGTCTTTCAAGTGGTTCAATGCCATATACACTCCCTGATGATCCAGAGTGAGGCAGCAGCAGTCAGACAGACTCAAGCAGGCCTCTACACGCTGTCCTCACTGCTATGTGTGGAATCTCAATGAAGGCCATTGGGTAATCAGAAACTGACAACCATGAGCGCAGCTCAAGCCCACCACATTTCAGCACAGCATTCTGCTACTCATCAAGTAAAAACCAAGAGTACATCTCATAGCAGAATCCAATGTGAACAGCAGACAGCTTATGATTCTTAAAGTGTATGGATCGTCAGATTTATTTATGAGTTTGTGACAATTGTTGCAGAATTGTTTTAGCTATATCTTGATTTTTTTACACTATATACTGATTTTCTCTGACATTTTTTTTTTTTTATGTACACTACCGGTCAAAAGTTTGGGATCAGTAAGAATATGCTGATTTATTATTAGAATTATCAATGTTGGCAACAGTTGTGCTGCCAAATATTTTTTTGGAAATTGCAATACTTTTTTCAGGATTCTTTGATGAATAAAAAGTTCAAAAGAACAGCATTTATTCAAAATATAAATATTTTCTAACAATATAAATCTTTGCTATCACTTCTTAACAATTAAGCACATCCTTGCTGAATAAAAGTTTTAATTTCTTTCCAAAAAAATTATGAATAACAATTTACTGACCCCAAACTTTTGAACTGTAGTGTATATTGTTAGAAAAGATTTCTATTTTAAATCAGTTTTCTTCTTTTTAACTTTTTGTTCATCAAAGAATCCTGAAAAAAAAGTATCACAGTTTACAAAAAAATATGAAGCAGCACAACAGTTTCCAGCACTGATAATAAATCAGCATATTAGAATGATGTCTGAAGGATCATGTGACACTGAAGACTGGAGTAATAATGATGCTGAAAATTCAGCTTTGCGTCACAGAAATAAATGAGATTTTAATGTATATTAAAATAGAAAAAAAGTTATTTTACATCATAATAATATTTCACAATATTACATTTTTTCCCTGTATTTTTGTTCAAATAAATGCAGTCTTGATGAGCATAAGAAACTCCTGTAAAAAACATAAAAAATCGTTCTGATCCCAAACATGGTTTGGAAACAAATGTCTTTTCAGTGCTGCATTTATTTGATCAACTTACAGTAAAAATGGTAATATTGTGAAATATTACTTCAATTTCAAACAACAGTTATGCTAATACATTTTTATTGCTGTGAAGCAAGGCTGAATTGTCAGCATCATTACTCCAGTCTTCAGTGTCACATCCTTCAGAAATAATTCTAATATGCTGATTTGGTGCAAATACCTTTCTTCTAATTATCAATGTTATAAACAGTTGTGCTGCTTAATATTTTTGTGGAAACCATTATACTTTTTTTTTTTTTTGAAGAATCTATGAGTAGAAAGTGAATAACAGCTTTTATTTAAACTATAATATTTTGCAACAATGTGGAAGTCTTTATTGTAACCTTGGTTAAGTATTACTAAAAAGTTATATCTTAACCTGAAAGCCTATATGCATGTGTACATACAAGAATGCTGACATACAATTTTTCTGCTATATCACCTTATCTCTATTATACAGTAATCAATTACCTTACAAATAAATCTCCAAATTAAATTTAAGATCCATACCAACCATGATGACTCTAGGAATGGGAAATTAAGGAAAGACTTTGAAACTGTGGCCCTCAATAGCTTTATATACATATATCCTTTCATCAGTGGATGAGGAATGACAAGCACTCATTTCCGGGCCCGAGGGTGGACGAACGGCATAAAAGCTGAGTTGATTGTTCCTCACATTTGCTGGATGATTGTGTCTTTTCTACATTTATGCTGTCTGTGGTGATTAATGACTGAACTGTACTTCCTCAATTCGACATCTACAGCTGCAAGACATTATGAACTATGAGAGAGAAATGCATCAAAGCCTTATAAAGTGATTCTCAAACTACTCAATTTTACCTTTTTTAGGCAACAGTGAATTAAAAGCCTTTAAATTATAATATGATGCTTGATGCTGAAGCGCTCTAACAAACAACCACAGCTGTGTTAGACCAGCTTCATATTAGCATCTCATTCATAAAATAAAAATAAAGAATAAAGTAAAAGTTTAAATAAAAATCAAATAACATAAGTCAGATGGAGCAGCCACAAAATGACTATTAAGGTAGTATTTATCATACATCAAACAATTCCCGAGTGGGTAAAAAAAGCTATTATTATGAAAGCGAACACATATCTCATTGTTTCACAATGGCCTCCCAAATGTAAATCCCTAAAATGAAAAAAATGACATTTCAAAGGAGATTTTTTTTGCTTCATAGTGCCTTCAGCCTATGAAATGTTTTGTGTAGGACTAAATACATTGGATGCTGTTAAACTGCACAGGCGTTTTCTATGAACCTGAGATCATAAGGAGCCTAAGGGAGCAGTACTGCCCTTATTCTCAACCACTGTGAACAACAACCAGGCCAAAATTATCCTTAAAACAAGGACATGTTCTTTCTGCTCTAATCGAGCCCAGAATAAAAGAAGAAACCCTCTCAGAACTCATGAGTAACTCTGACTGTACTCATGGGTACTTTCATATTCCGGCCTTCCGCTACCTTTCAGCTGAAGCACATGTTCTTGACGGCATTACTTGAGTACATTAGTCAGCCTGTGTGCAAGAACAAGCAATGTAGACATTAAGATTTATGAATTTCATTAAAAATTAAACATTGTGACTTCACAATACAGTGCTGTAGAGGAACAGTTCACCCAAATGTAGGTGAACATTTCATTCCCAACTCGTATTCTACTTTTTTTCCCAGTGGAACACAAAAGTAATCTTCACGCAGCTCATGGCAGATAATTCACACAAACATGTCAATTCTAGCATCATTCACTTACCCTCATGTTGTTCCAAAACTGTACATCTTTATTTCTTCTGTGGAACATAAAAGATGATAAACAGTGTTCAATGTTCCATTGAAAATGGAAGCCATTGGGCTTGTTTGATTCCCAATGGTTTGGAACAACACGAGGATGAGTAAATGATGACAATATTAATTTATGGGTGGACTCTGTCTTCTGTTTGTTTTTTGCTTGTCAAACAAAACGTATTAAAGCTTTGGAATATAGTGAATGAGTTGTGTGGAAAATATGACATCAAACTGGATAAGAAAATGATGACTGAATTTTCATTCTTAGGTCAACTATGCTTTTAATAGGCAAATCCTCAGAGATGTACTGTCTATTGCTGCTTGACTCCCTGAGGATTACTCTTAAAGAAACACAATAGAAACAGAAACTTCTCTTCCTTCAGGGCGATAAGCTTTTAAAAACCGAACAATAAAACCAGCACAAAAACATCTCTCGTTTCTCCATGTATTTTGAAAAGAGAAGTGTGAACATTGTGCTGACATGCATCTATGACTACAGCATGTGTGTGCGCCTGCCTCTGGCTACAGACTTGTTATGAGGAAGGAACGTTTTACGTCGTGTTCTGAGTATTACCCAACATTCAACCACAAGTGTGCAACATTTCTGACTGATATAATAACAGCAGGCTGAGCAGGCAATGTGACCAACTGCAGCCCACAGCTCTGTATCACTAAAAAAGTACATCCAACCACTCACATCTAATACAGCTCATTGCATTTCCTGTAGGATACAGCAGTGCTTGAAAGGCAGCAATATAACAGTTTTATTTTTCACCGACAGGCAATTAGTCTCTCACATTTTTAATTCCATTCTACAGAGTTTCACCAAAAATGATATGCATAAATGCCAAAATGCTAACCTTCCCAAACGTATGTTTGAATTCAATTTCCTACTTCAGATAACTGTGCATACAGTATTCATGAGTAACTATTAAGCAACAGGGAGAAAAGGAAAAGACGCTTTGTCACGCCAATGCAGGATGTGACTCAGGGGGTAAAGTTCAGGTGATAATTTCCAACTGGTTCAAATTAAGTTTATAATATCAATTGTGAATAACCACAAAAACACACTCACGTGAACAACATCATGTGACTTTGAAGAAAAAGGAGACTAATAAAGACAGGTGGACATTAGGTGCTGATCAACAAACTGAATATAGATGCCTTAAGAAGTTAAACATGGATATTGCTATTAAAACATGCCACCCAGACAGCCTACAAGGTCAGACTGGACTAAGGCAAGAAACTGAGCAGGAATGAACAGACACTAAAATAACTGGTGAAAAGCTGCTAAAGTGTTTTACAAAAAAACTTTAAATAATTAAAAAACCTAAGAAAGCACTTGGTTACTTCTGAGATTCTGTTCCTTTTATACATCAGAATGTGACATGAACAGGGAGATTAAAGTTCACTGGGGATGAATCTCAAAAAATCTGTCAGGATGGAACATCAAATATTTTCAACCCCCCCCCCACCCACATTTCTGCACAGTAAATCTAATTATCTCATTATTTCAATGTGTCCAAAAACAAGATACAGTGATCTTAAAAAGCATTTGGACATAAACCACAATTAAAAGGAATGAATGTCATTGGATTAGACAACAAAACCCCAAATTATTTGATGTAAAATAAATATAAACAAAAGGTTCAACAAAAAGAAGTTTGAAAGGTTTGAAATTTTAAAGGAGGAAAAACTCAAGTGGCATTTATTTAAATGCCATTTAGCTTGACTTTTTCATGCTTAGAAATTCATTTATCTTAAACTTTCTATAAACTTAATATTATATTAATTGTATTTCTACAAAATATCTAGACAAACAGTACTTGCCAGTGTTCGGAGAAGCTTCCAGGATGGATATGATGCACTTCATTTGGACTGTGTCCCCTGGTAACACATTGTTTGCTTCTGAATGAATGGATATGTTGAATACTGGGCCTGCATGAGAAACAAACATTTGCCGTTTTAAAAGTCTAGATTTCAGAGTCAACTGGATGTTGAAAACTTAAATATTTGTAATATTTCTAAATATTTTAAAAAATGAAAATTTATTCAACCTTTCGTTTGAATTCATACACTAACATAGAGAGAGAGAGAGAGAGAGAGAGGCTCCCAAAACTTAAGTGAGCTGCCTCACTATCCACTGCCTAAACAGTCTTTTAAGGTAGGATGCTAATTGAAATTAAACCTCAAAATGACTGATTTGTAAAACTCTATGTGCTACAAAAGAGAGACTTGCCTCTTAATTGATTTCAAAAGTTTGCCATTAGCATGTTGCTAAGTTAATTATGCAATATTGCACATAAAAATACGTAGCACACACAAATATTGGCTACAATGGTTCATTTGAATTAGTTTGGACTATTATTATAGATACTTTGCCAAAAATAGATATTAACGAATGAGAGTTGGAGAGCAGGGATGACATTTTATATTATAAACCTAGAAACAATTTAATATTTTAGCACTTTCGGTTCCATCGTCCTGAAGTTAATGGATTTTTTTAAATGGGCTTTTGGTTAAAAGCCTGAAATAAAGTCTGTAAGTCAACAAGTTCAAGATATTTTCATATACATCATTAATACCCTCTTGTGATTTTTTTTAAAAAGCTTTTGCTTGTAATGAAAAAGGTGGTTGCTAACAAGTGGCTAAATGGCATTACAGAGGTCGTTGGGGACATTAAACGTCATCATGTCGAACAGGTAAACTCATCTACTCACTAGTCCACAGCCTTATTGTGTTTAATCTCGCTCTTGCAAACTATTCTAACAAACTTTCAGGGAAATGATTTTTAGTGATAGTGATGGAAAAGTCATGAGACCGTGGTGTGGTTCGTTTATAGCCTTTTTCTGCCGATTGGAATTAGGCTATAAAATTCATAAAAGTTGTGCTCATTTGTGAAGATTAGATTGTCATGAGGAACAAAGCATGTAAGAATCAAACTTTTGCTGATCACAAAGCTTGTTTCCCCACAATAATCCAAAAGCAACTGGAAAAATCCTTTTGGGTTTTTGTTGAAGGAACCAGGGTGATGTGAACAACTGGGCTGGCCAACAAAACTGCAACACCACTCCAGCACTCAACATTTTACTTGCTTTGTCTGCCATCGTGGATTTATTTTTCCCATTATGGGATCACCTTCACTGTGAAGGATAGATTTGAATTTGGTCTTAGTTTAGCTTTTAGAACCAGCTTTCACATGGGAGCATGTCTGTGATGTTTTAAAATGCTGCCTATGAACGAAAGAGAGTGAGAGATAAAAAGAGAGTCTCTGTAGGCAGCAGGAATCTGCCCTGAGGGAGACACTATAGAGGTATAGTCATCCAGAATCAGACAGAAAGAGGGAACTACAGAAAGTGTGTGAGAGGGTAACATGACCTCAGCTGTAAACATACCCTACAGGCAATTCAGCATCATCCTTTAGAGTATTAAAGCTCACTAGTGTCTAGTGTAGTTAGCATGATAATACCTGTGTGTACAAAAGCGATCTCAATCTTATTGGACTCCGCACTGATGGCTTTGATCCAGTCTTGGCTCTGATCCCGTGTCCAGGCCGTGACGTCACAATAGTAGAACCCACGATCTGTGACCTGGGCCCCATACAAACGGAAGCGGTACTCGAGCTGCCCGGTCTTCTCCAGAACCACGCTGTCAATGCGGCTCGGCTCGCTCCACTCCTCTAGCTGCAAGACTGAGTCCTGGCTGAGTGACAACACTTTGCGGGACTTTCCTCCCAAGATCTCCTCAAAGCGGATGAGCACAGAGTAGCCGGGATTCTTCAGGTTCTGACCGGTCACCCGACAGCTCATCTCAAATGTGGATCCACCAGTCGAGGCTTCTCTCACACGATGGGCTACTACTCGCAAAACTGGAACTAAAAAAGATCAAATAAATACTCATTAAGCACAAAGATTTGACCATTTTTAGGAATAGCTTCAAAATATAATCAAAGTAAATTAAGTTTCTAGATAACACTTCATGGATAATAAGCTGAGAGAGATAAAGGATTTAAGAGACCAAAATTGCCATCAGGAATGTTTAGACATTCCTCAATTAGTGTGCCAAATTTCACTTTTTTTTTTTCCATACGGTCCTATACTTCCAGAAATACTAAACAAAGAATACTAACAGATTTAAAAGATGCCATCGCTCCTTATTCAGTGGTGCCACCATGTACATTTCGTCAGTATCAGATATAGTTTCAGAACACAGCCTAAGTGAAATCAAGGGTGCAATGGAGAAGGTCCAGACCAAGACAGAGCAACCATTGTGAGCTAAATCTGTCTTCACATAGAAGACGCCATCACAAAACACAATTAAAGCCATTTACTCGAATCCCTTATTGAGAGCTGAAAAATGAGAGACATTGGAGACTTTCAAACAACAAGCTTTGATGCATGCTTTTTAAAACAGTGCGCTAAGTGCTACATGTCACAGTTGCTGGGAGCACTTAGCTCATGGGGTAAAAATGAAATATCAGAAGAGTGACTGCAAATCCTAAAAACAGGCTGGGGACAGTTAGTTACGTAGTTGCTAAAGGCCAGAAACATACTATTTAAAAGTTTAAGAGGGCAAACAATTTTAGATAAACAAACTGTGCGGTTGATTTCTGAATGCAACACAAAATACGAGTTGCATTTTTTACTTTTATGCAATGAGCAGACATTAGCATTAGTAGTCTTCTGCATCCAGTTTTCGCCTTGAGATCAATTACAGTCAAAGTGGAGCAACGGTTTTAAGATAATATTGCAGAAAAAAAGTCCATCACCACATTAGACTAATTTCACAAACCTGTCTTGCAACTCCACTCCGATTTAACTTCAGTACCAAAATTAACAATTTAATTCAATATTAATTCAATACTGAGTCACCACTTGCATTATTGCAGTATTGATTGCATTAATGCTCTTCTACTCAAAGAATAATGAAACAAATGTATCACAGTTTCCACAAAAATGCAGAACAACTGTTTTCAACATTGATAACACAAAATGTCTGCTTTTTTCTGAATGATCAGGTGACGCTGAAGACTGGAGTAATGGCTGCTGATAATTTGGTTTTGCCATCAGAGGGATAAATTACATTATATTACTATTTTTACTGTATTTTTGAACACATAAATACAGCCTTGGTGAGCATAAATTACTTTTCAAAAGCACAAAAACTTTTATTGTATGTAAAGTTGTTTACTAAGAATTGTTATATTTGTGTGTACATCTAAGTGAAAATGATTAACAATTTTTTTCTTTGTGTTCATTTAGTAAACAAATTGTTAAATTGCGTTTTATTTCTTGTTTAAAGGCAAGGTATGTGATTTTTCAAAAACACTTTAGAAAACTGATTCGGGCCGAATCGCACATTATATTACTGTTTTTACTGTATTTTTGAATACGTAAATACAGCCTTGGTGAGCATAAATGACTTTTCAAAAGCACAAAAACTTTTATTGTATGTATGTAAAGTTGTTTACTATGAATTGTTATATTTGTGTGTACATCTAAGTGAAAATGATGAACTCTTTTTTCTTTGTGTTCATTTAGTGAGCAAATTGTTAAATTGCGTTTTATTTCTTGTTTAAAGTGTTGCATGAAACATTTTGAATCTTGGTTCCAAATGGCTTTGTTAAAATGTGTGTGGTCTCTGACTAAAAATAATCAATTGCCATTCCAGATCAAATACATCTCAAAAGTATGAACAACACTTAGATACAATTTTATCAGGTATATCACCCAGTCATAGTGTCTGCAGAGGTATGGTAGTCGACCTAGTTTTTCGTCTCTGGATAGGAAGGGAAGGGCAAGGGTGCACATTCTCTCAATTTTCAGCTGTCATTGTTCAAGCTATGGTAAGCTCACGCACACAAGTCTGGCTTTGTGTATTTGACACCAGGCCAGCTCACTCGCTGCCACTGCAGTCAAACATTGTGCCCAGCTGTTGTGTACTTCGAGAAAAGACACCTGTTTGTATGGTAAGAAAACACTTTTTTAGTTCTCTATTGTAAGTACTGTACTCCTAAAGACAAAGGACCTGAACTGATCAAATTAGTCTCTGCAGATGTTTAATCAATTCCTCTAGTCCTTATCTTAAACTGACCCATATCACATTATACAAAATGCATGCACTTCATCCAGCACTGTGTCATCAATAACATCTCACAAAACAGCTATCATTGGGTTATAAAAGTAAAAAAGCCTTGTGCACATTGCATTTAGCAGTATTATGTAGCGTAGCTTTGAATAACCTGTTACAAGGAAATTCCCCAAGCTGAATTCACAGTGCAGTTAGAATATGCAAAACACTGATTAACATTTAACGTTGAGGGAGAAGACTTCAAAAATAAAGCAGCATGTTGCACAAAAAACCAATTTTTACTAATAACTAGTTGCTTATTAGCATGACTATTAATAACATATTGGCTGTTTATTAGTACTTATAAAGCATATATTTTGCATGACCATATTCTACATACCTAATCCTAAACTTAACCACTAGCTATTAATAAGCAAAAAATTTGTAGTTTATGGAGGCAAAAGTTGTAGTTAATGGTTTGTTAATAGATAGAATTGGACCTTTAAATAAACTGTGACTGTATTTTTGTCCTTTTGGATCTACATTGGGCATCCTTAGATATTATGACTTTGAATAGAATCAAAGTCATTGCCAATATTTGTAATCCCTCAGGGCCTCTTTACAACTTTAAGTCAAGCGGAGATAAAATTAACACATTTTCTGAAATGAGAGCCACATGAAATAACTTGGATAGGCAGGAGTGCTTTTAATAAAATACTATAAAAAGGTCACAGCTACAGTCTAGAAATTCCTTAGAGTCTGCTATCATTGTTCGTAAGGCTTCATAATAGCAGGGACTTAGAAAGCAGCATTGTCTCCTGGCTGCTGTCTACAGGCAATAATTTTTTTACAAATCCCAGCATAAATTACAAAGAGTTAAAGTAATGGTTTCTGTAACCCAGACAACCATGCTAATCTCAGGCTCAGACGGCAAACCTACAGTGCGTTTTCTAATGCATATTGCACACAAAATACAAATACCAGAGTGAACAGGTTTTAATTAATAATTTAAATCATTTAAATGTGCCAGGCTGATATTACATCAGTTAGACAATCACTTTTACAAAGTTTGATGATAATGGTTGAACTGAGTCTGCTGAGCATGCTCAGTTTGATCACTGATTCCAATTTCCGCAAAAGTTTTGAGGCAGAACAATTCCACCTGGTTTATAAGTGCCACTATGGCTATCACAGCGAGTCTTTACTTGATTTGAGAAGGTTGTTTTTTGTAAAACTATAAAAACTAAACTTCAACCTCATATACCGAATATGCCCATTGGCAAGCATTGTGGCTGGGGGAATTACCTGTAATAACAGCACACATCAGTGTAATGTGTGTTTGGTCAAAACATGAATTATAACTTGCTTTAGAATTAAACATCTATTTAGCATTTTAAGTGTTCCTTTTTTAGTATTTCCTAATTTACTGAACTGCCTACAACAACTCTTTAAATTCAGAATACTCAAAAAATGCTTTCCTGCTGGTTGCTTTATTTTTTTAACTGAACATTTTACAGTGTAAAGGATGTTTGCTTCCTAGTCAATCAAAGAATGCCCTCTAAACCCAGCGCACATCAACTGCTCACTACAGACCAGAACAGTCAGGTTCTGGAAATAAACGTACCATTAATTAACTGATTTAACAAATAATGCTTTCAAGACAGATTTACTACCAGCTCTGGTGTTAAGAAACAGTATTCTGCAGAAGGCAATTATCAGTGTAATTTTTTAATTTAATAAATAAAATTAACTTTAAGGGTTAGTTCACCCAAAAATTAAAATTAGGCTGTGTTTTACTCACCCCGAGGCATCCTAGGTGTATATGACTTTCTTCTTTCAGACGAATCCAGTCGGAGTTATATTAAAAATTGTCCTGGCTATTCCAAGCTCTATCATTGCAGTCAGCGGGTGTTGCAGTGCTTCAGTCCAAAAGAAGTGAAATAAAAAGCGTCCATCCATAAAAAAAAAGTGTCTCACACGGCTCCCGGGGGTGAACAAAGGCCTTCTGTAGCAAATCGATGTGTTTTTGTAAGAAAAATATCCATATTCAAAATGTAATAATCACTTTAAT